TTTGTCTTTGGTAATTAATATTTAAAGTTTATTTCAATTTCCCCCATATTATGCCACTTTATCTGTCTTATTACTTTATCGTACAACTGAATAGTATCAGAAGACTGCTAAATATTGCAACCAGACCAATACTTTATTCCGATGCATATACACAGCAAAACATGTATAACTTTATAAATCCACCTTGCTACCAAAAATTTTGCAAAGTGTTCTTAACGAGCATTAAACAATATTTTCAATACATCTCGACCGTAGATAATTTTTGTTTAATAATTAATGTTCTTTGTGCTCCATTGTTTCATACAAACGCCATTGTCAGTCTCGTCTAGCAATTTTATTGACATCAATGACGAAATTAATAACTAATTTTCTAACATAGAAACAATGTTATCATCAAATAAGCAAAAAACGTCACAGTATTAAATTAAAGAACGATGATAACCCAAGAATCTATTGAAATATGTAATTTTTTTATTCATATGCTTGTGGTTTTTCCTTAACTAATGATGTGTCTTTGATTTCAGTACATTTGGTGTGTGTCAGCGCATTGAAATTGGTCACATGTTGACAATGGTGGACAGGGCCAAGGCCATACATTTGTCGGTGAGATAAATATGCTTGTAATTTCACAATGTTGAGGGTAAGATTGGCAAAGTTCGTTATTTCAAGGTAAGTATATTGTGGATCATCAGCGAAAGTATATGAATAAATTAATATTGCATCCGAAATGGGCCAATGTTATTTTAAACGCAACTGATATATCCCATTTTCAGTATTCAAAATCCAAAAACTATTTAATATTTGTGCAAAATATCTAATTCATAGTCGTTTCAACGAACAACCGAGAAGGTACGGCCGAATGAGAAATTTACGCTGAATATATAACTTATGAATTAATACGATTAAATAAACCCTCCATATTATATTGGTGGTTATAAAAACAGTTGCTGTTGGTTATTGTTTTTGGCAATAGTCAAACTAACATGTACTTGTTTTTTTTTTTTCGTCACAAATCACGTATTGGTTCGTTAAGTGTAATATGTAAATATTTTAAGTGAAATTTTTTAAGAACAAATACAAATTATGAAATAAAATTTCAACCAAGCATTCTATTAATTGCTATTTTTAAATTAAATGTGAGCTTTCGTTGACAATGGTTTGATTTTTATCACTCATCACTTTTTCATTTCTAAGCGAATGTGAACTTGTGGTATTTAGTTCAGTTTCAACAATGTCATTAGCGTTTTAATTACCAAATCCCAATACATACATAATAATTCTCCCAATATATATTACAATAATATTGCTTAAAAAATATCTATGACCCTTTTATAAAAATAATGCAAAGTTAAATGTTTTGTGCGAGAGTTTCAAGAATGTTAATCTTTATGTCTTTGTAGAACCAGACCAAATGTAGAATAAATTTTATCAGTGATGACGTCGACCGGATATGTATACAAGAAGTAAAACACATACCGCATTATACAAAATTTCTGACTTATAGTTAGACAGCAACTAAAACATGAAGATTTAAAAATGTTTTGCTGAATTCATTTGCAAAAAATCCAACTCTGTGTGCATAAAATTTATCATAGATGTATTGTAAAACAAGTAAACACTATAGTTGCCCATTTTTACCGGTTTCAAATCCTAAACATTGAATATGTGTAGCGTGATTACAAGATCTAGTTGGACGGGCACAAATACCCAGATCAAGGTCCTCTCATTCATCAAGAAACAAAAACATGAAATGCAAAAAGACGAGTATATAATTATTGTTTCGCTTTGTTACAATTTTTTGCGAGAGCGAAGTTTTTAATAAAAAAAAAATAATTTGGCTTAGTTTTCTTATTATATTCAAATCAATGTTCAGCTGTCAATAACCATATCCAATAATCTTATGAAAATGTTCAGCAATTTTGTTATCTGATCGTTATGATCGAAATATACATAACATTATATCTGCTATAACCAGATGATAGGAGAAGGAGTTAAAGACACTTTTCATTGCCTATATTTTTCCAAAAAGAAAAACTCAATATAACCGGCATTACAAAAAACTACAAATAAGATCAATTGACGACATCAATTGTTTACCAACGTTATTCAATGCTAGGAAATTGAACCAAGTGCAAGCTACAATCCTCATTCAAATGGGGCTAGTAAGAAAACAAACAATGAAGAAAAGGTGAAATGGAGAAATTAAAACTAAGCTAAAAATGAGTTAGATGTCTCGCCTACAAACAAGTTAGAGAAAATGTGTAATGTATCTTGAAAACAGTCACATTAGTATATGCGTGTATCTCATTGCTTGCTTTTATTACAAAAAAAAAAACATGGGAAAGTGAAAATAAACACAAATAAGAAAACATTACCCAAAAATGCAAAGAAAGTTTTAGGAATCCGATACATGTATGTGTACAAAATACCAAGGAGACATAAAGTCAACAATAATATGAGATATTGACCGGCAGTGATTCAGAAATAGATTACGCTTTCCAAAACTATTTTAAGGAAATCTAAAATAAATTTTGCCCAAAATTTAAACCAATATATCTCTATGTCATGATTTATTTCATACTAAAAAGCAACGTGTTATAAATGCCTAGGGTGAGATTTGAAATTAAACTCACCATAAAACTATTTTTTTAATAATCATCCGTTGACAAATTGCAGACTTTTGGTCAGTGGAAAACGTAACAGATTTATGCTCATAAATACATGTGTATTAGGGTAGAATGTTGCCCAATTTCCGCGACTTACTACATCGCTGAGTAGTATTAATACGTAGAAGAGACTATCAGACTATTGTGATTGTTCTTAGTTTCTTATTTTTCCTTACGATTTTTTAATACTATAGAAGAGATGATTTTATTCGACCTCAATTGAATAGATAAAATACTTGATACACATTATATACTAATGATATACAAATACGTGTATATCAAGATGACACTTGTTAGTGAATGGTGACAATTATATGTAACGAAGAAGCGTTTGGTAAATATTGTGACGTTAAATGAATAAGACGTCAGAAAACAGACGTTCTAGGAAGGATGAAGGATGTAACAGGAAAACACCTCGAGATATTTACAAATAGCTCAGGAAACACTTATTCATATGCACTATTTCTGTCCAAGGACTATAATAAAAAAAAATTAAGGAATGTTTCGAGAATTCCGGTGACTTTTTCGAGCTTGCGATCTCCAAAACCAGCTGCAGAATATGAATTGACAATTTTGTCCCTTTGTGGATGAGGTACCAGAAGGGGTTCGCAGATATATAGCATCTTCAATACAGATCTTGTGTTAGCAAAAATGTTTGTATGTGTGAAATTTGAAGACAGTTGGACGCTTATTTCGCTTTCTTTAAGCGTTATGCTTTCCAAAATGTTGAACCCTATGTGGGGCAAGTAGCAAAAGAAATGGTCCGATCTCTACCATATTTATAACAGATATTGTGTTGGTGGACCGAATCGATATATTCCATCTTACTACCAGATCTTGGTTTTATAAAAATAGTAGGATGTGTGAAATTCGACAATCGGACTCTTACATCACATTTTATGAGAGTTGTAATTATTCAAAATTTTGACCATTTGTGGGGGAGGCACTTGATGGAGTGGACCGATATTGTTCATTTTCATACCTTACCTAGTACTGACGCAAATATTAGGATGTGCAAAGTTGGAGCAAAACAAGATTATCCTTTCTGCTTCTGTGCAAAAAAATATATATTTTGAAAATTTCGACCTTTTGTGGGGAGGTACCAGTAGAAGTGGACCGATATTGCCTATCTCCGAACTCGATCTAAGTTTGACAAAAATATTACGATGTACTGAGTTTGGACCAAATCGGATACTCCCTTCGAGAGTTATCGTGCACACCAGCTACACAGACGGACGGACATATGTTCTACTTCAAATGTTCTGAAACGGATTTGATCCAAAGAGACCTAGGGTCTAAAAACGTTATTTCGACTAGACACGTTTTGACCGTAACAAATGATATATACCCTCTGTAGCCATATGGCTGAGGGTATAAAAAGATTAAGATTTTAAGCCCTTTATCTTAAGGAAACGTTTTCGTTGATGTAAGTACTTGTGTAGGCCTCGAATGAGGTTTTAAACCCCCGCCTTTAAGGGTCTAATCCTCAGAATTGCCAGCTAAATAACATTGCCAAAATCTCCGCAATACCTGTTAAACGGATTCTGTACTAAAACGAAAACTTACTCTAACAGTTCCTTGTAACGAATTTAATGTCAATTCGACTATTGTAGCAAACAAGGCGTGATATTTTCTTCACACTTGTCCTAAGCGAAACCAAATTGAACCATACCATTATTCTTATCATGACTTAGTTTTCGGTTTTAGATTATATTCTAACTTGACTTTTATAACAACTAAAGGCGTGGAAATGAAAAAAATATTTTGTCTGAACTGTTAACTGTTAAAAAAATCATTTTAAATATGACTCTAATACAATGTAGAAAAGGCTCATAAATTCTAATGAGATTAGGAAATCTGAAGGTATGTTTTAGTGACAAGCAATTATTAATCAAATAATTATTTAAACAATTATATTGAATATATTTTTTAAAATCCCGACCTATTCCAATCTATACAAGCAGAAAATGTCATCGTAACTTCAAAAGCACAATATAATACCTTTTTCATAAAATAAATTAAACATTCCCTGTTCAGATGTGGTTGCTGAAATGTTATGGGTGTTTAACATGTGTTTGCTTGTGCCACTGTTTAATTGATAAGAATCAAATGATATGAGTAATATGGATACGTATTCATTGAAAGCTTCGATATGACAAGTAAAACCCAAGTATTGCTCATGGGATAAAATATAATTAGTTGCCCCTTTAAGTCTTTTAGAAAGAGATAAGAATTGTGTGCGTTTATTACTTTTTAGTGGCTGCATTATCTGTATATATATGTATATGTAATAGAGATAAACTGATTAAAAATTTGAAAAGAAAAGTTTCTTACCTTTTATCTTCCAGCAACTTCTCCGCTGTACTTAAACGTAGTCTGACGGTCTTCATACTTTGTAAGGGGAATAATTTGCATATTGGAGTTAGAAATTTGGGCCGCCAGCAGTAATGGGGATATTCCTTGCATAACTGCCACAGTCTTTTGTTGTGTTGAAATAAATGTACATTTTTCTTTCCATAGCTCAAGTATTCCTCCATGTCGTAGTAATCACAGTAGAACAGACTTTTGAGGTGTTTAATGGCTTCCTCCTCTTCTTCTGGGGTACGTACTTGCTTAATACCAATGTGTAATAAAGGCTCGTAGTGATAATAGTTTCCAGGCATTGCATTGAGAATATCTCCTAAAAATGTCGATCCACTTCGCCATGTGGTAAGCACCATACTTCGAACAGGCACTCCTTCTGTTTCCGGGGTCAGATCAGATAACTTTTCGGCGTCAACGCCGAAACGCCCCGCAGGGTACTCAAAGTTTTCCATTTCTTGTGCAATTTTCGCTCTTTGTTGGGCAACAACTTCTGCTATTGTTGATATGCTACCAAATGTTTGACCATTGCCGTTACCTGTCGAGTAGACTCCTCCAGATTGTGCATTTAATACTGTGTTCCCACCGTTGTCCACATTGCCTACTGAACCTATTGACGATGAAGAAAGCGAGGATGGCAAGGGTCTGTGTTGTGTGGTAGCGACCAGTAGCAAAATACATAAGCAACTTATGCCACAAATTCCTATCAAATTCGCCCGGCGAGACATTTTCTTGCGCTTTGTAACAAGGCCACCTCTTACTTGGGAACGAGTTCTTAATACTCCAGATAATTTTGGGGTTGCAGTCCCGGCAGCTTTCGTTCCAACCTCGACTCCCGTCAAAAGCGACACCGTCGCTGTATCTGTTTCTTCATAGGCACTCATAAAATAGCTGTCTTATTTAGCTAGAGCAAATGATGACAAGACAGTCAATTAATCTTTTGCACATTAAACAAAAATATTCCAAACAAATCCACGAATAATGTTACAAACGCCTTCGTATCTTCTATAATTCTTTTGGTTGCATGTGTAATTGTATTTGTTCACATTAAAAAACCCACAACATTGAGAATTTATCACGAGGACTCTAGCATTTTATAAAATAGGGCGAGCTTTATAAATCCAAGGCTATTTTTTCTTCTTCAAGCTAAACCGATACCCGGATATCGCACTACATAATAAATATTTTTTACATCTCTAAATTTGTGCGAACAAAAACAAAGTAAACCGTCCTTGTTATTTGTCCTTTATACAATTTTGTAGAATTTTCTGGTTCACTTGCAATTTTTTTAATTAAATTTTCATAGCATTTGGATTGTTTAATGACAATAGCAAAAGCTCACAATTCCGCAACACTTCATAAATTCTTAACACATTTTTACGAAACCACCGCCGCTCAACATTCACCAACCAAATATTAAAAACTGACTGTCAAAATTTTTTTCAATCGCATCGAATCTTCTCTCTTCTTAGTTCCGTTTTGACCTACAGTTCTATTTTTTCGCTCCGTCTTTGTACTTATTTCCTTAAGTTCGATTGACGTTTGCACGAACGATTTGAAGAAAATGGGAAGTGCTACCCCTTTGCCGGCTATATTATTGTTGTGTTGCCAATTCCACGCTGTATCCGATATTTCTAATGCTAAGTTCACATGGCACGTAATTCGCTCTCTATTCCTTGTTCGACCATTAATTAACAAATATCTACTTAATTCCCCACACAAAATTTGCTAAGCGAACAGATTTTTTCTTTGTTCCATTCAAGTCACTCTCAGAACTAAGATGAAATGTGTGCCATCCCTAACAAATGAATGAAAACTACAATGTTGAATGGCGTATGTAAATTCAAACTAAAGTAAATTTTGTATTCTCTCTCATCCGAGGTGTGCATTTTGTCCACGAGTTGAAAGTTCCACAGAAAACTAAAAACAAAAGAGGCAATATTTTCAAAATGTTTGTATCGGAAGAAAAAATTTTTGACAAGTGTCTCTCAGAAGAATTTAGAAATAGAAAAATACAAAAATATATTCAAAATGTCAACAATTGCACAAAAAGTTGAAAACATGAATGAAAATTTTAATATTAATGATATAAATCTCTAGGAGAAAAACAAAAATTTCTTCTATTCATATTACTGAGAATTTCATGTATTTTAAAAAATTCCATTAAAATCAGTAAACTTGGAAAATATTGCTAAAAATAATTGCCTTATATAAATGTAAGAGGCAAGTTGAAAACAGAACAATAAAAATTGCCAGTAGTACAATCGCCTTTTTGAAAAATTATGAATGAAAAGTATAAATTTAAGTGGGGAAGGATTTTACGACTAATTTATTTCGGTTACTAGCTTACCGACAATTTTTGTCAATGACCGAAATTATTGGTGTTTGAATTTTAGCAATTTTAGTCTGTAATTCAAAAATATGAGTGTTTAGATTTTTAGTGCATTTGTGTAAATATATGTATTCACATCGTTTTGAGTAGTTATGTACTTTTAGAATTATTTGAAAATTATAGATGTATTCCAATATAAAAAATATTTGCAATTCCCGTTTGGAAAAGGTGGTTGCCTAATTCTACCATAGAAACAACCGTATTATCAAATAATCTCAAAGTCAATATGAGTGTTCCATATTTACTTTATGCTTCAGAAAAATGTCAGTTTCCCTATTCTCTCCAAAAATATTGTGTACATCTGGTAACTCTATTTGCAGACAATCGAATATTTTCCGCTGTCTCTTTTCAATCGCTCATTCTATCTTTTATCTCTTTCTTAACCGTCACGTCTTTGTTTTTCTCCCTCATCTCTGAAATAAACAAAAATCAAAAATCCCACTACGCCAAAGTCATTTCACATGTGTTTTTGCGCTCTCTCTAAAGACTTTTTTGTGGAAAAAATGAAAGGAAAAAGCAATAAATACCAATTATTCGACTTCGTCGTATGCAAGATAATCGTCATCGTCGTCGTAGTAGTTTTTGTGAGAAGAGGTTGAATGTGTGTAAAAATCAAGTGCCGCCCGTCAAAAGAAAAAAATAAGGAAAACTAAGAAGTTAAAAATTCTAATTATTCACAACTTCTTGACAACAAGCAATACATTATTGTCTGTTGAAGATCGAATTTTTTGTGTCGGGAAAAATGAGCTCAATTATTGTGCTAGATTCGTCCGACGAGGATGAGGTAAAAAGAATAAAGTTTTAAGAAAATGAATGAAAAAAGAAAAAGCTTAATGTGAGTTGGCTTTGTGTGTGTTTCTCGCGTTGCTTGTATAGGTGGTTTGGCTGGCGTAAAACGATTACTTTTGCCACAATTACCGCGGAGAGTAAGACACTAGTGATGTAAAGTCTTGCCATTTGCTTCTTAACAGTGGATGAGTGTTGTGAAATTGCAAATCAAAACAAAATGCAATAAGGAAAAATAAATAGCAATGCCATGGGAAAATAATTGAAATTCGTTTCAATATCTTCATAAATGTTTCTTAAACAGAGAAACGACGGCATCGTTTGAATTAGTTGCAATTGTTGCATCGAGTACTTTTATTTCCGACAATAAAATTATTTTCCACATCACTATTCTCTCTTTAGGCAAAGTCTACAAAAAACAAAACATGTAAAAATCTTGTTTTGTTGTTGTGTGCGTGTATTTCATTTATACATATTTTCAACATACACATTAGCTTTTTCTGTGCCGGAGACTGACTGTGTATATCTTCGGACGCTTTGTGCAGTATTTTATTTTTCGTTGTTAATTACTCTTCTCTGAGTACAGTTTACACCAAAAATGCTATTAAATAACACGCAATTAGTTAGTTTAATAGACAGTCGGTCGATGACGATGAATCGAATCGTTTTGAAAAAAGTTGAAGAGAAGCAAAAGTCTCCAAAAAGTTAACAGAGCTCTGTTAACTATGTTCCCGCGTTTTATTTTGATTCTTAATAAACAATTTTAACAGAGATGTTTTGGGGAACCTGTTAGATACATGAACTTACGAATATAAAGGCTATAAAGTTTGCTGCGATCGAAAAGATTCGAAAACAGACAAATGTGTAAAATCTAATATTAAAAAATCAGATTAAAAGTTGTACTGTTTATTCTAAAAAACCTTTCATTTTTTATTTTTGCAGAGCCCACCTAAAAAGCCAAATTTAAAAACTTCAACCGACTTTTCCGTATCTTTGAAGACCCAAGTAAAGAATTCGAAACAAAGAGCTATTCCAAGTGGGATAACAGTCACACAGCGTCAAAACCCCCAGGTACAAGGTTCCAATGTTCCAAGCAGTCCAATAAGTCAGTATACATCAGCTCCTAACATCAATCATGCTATTACAAGTATCATTAATGATGAGCGGCAAACACCGACTCCACCAAAATTGGTGCAAGGAAGCAGTCTGGCTGCCCAAATTACTAGAAAACGAAAGACACCTACACCTCCGCAGGCTATGTCTCGAATGACTTCAAAATCATTCGCCAACAACATGAGCATCACAAACATAATGTCTCCGGCTGCTGCTGCGACAACTATGGCCCCATTACCACCTATTATGCCAATGATCGCCGGCGTCCACTCGGCGGCTGGAGCTACAACATTGCCACACAATCTAGGAGCATTTACAGGATTGAACGATCAGATGATTATGAATCCTATTTTTCATCCAAGTTTGCCACCTAATACGACCATTACCGCTCATTCTAATCTAAATCATAATAATTTAAATAATAATTTCAAAATACATTTGCCTCCAAAGCCTGTGACGACGCCCTCGCCAGCCGCATCTCCGTCTGCGCCGAAAACGCCTTCTCCTTCTCAAATTGTTGGCCCCTCCACACAAAGGCGAGCGGACAAACTGTCCAAACGGGCAAAACTAACGACCGTTTTGAAGTCAACTGACGAGGCTTGGCAGCAACAAAGAAATAAAATTCAATTATCAACAGATAAACACAATGACGATGTAGTGGAACTAACCATGCTTTCACCCACGTCACTGTCCCGGCAGCAAACATCACCAAAATCATACAAATCGCCAACATCTTCAACTACAACAACATCCAATGATGTTTTGGATTTAACAGATAGTCCAGATAGGAATTCAGCATCGACTGTAATTAATTTAACTGATACAATGCCCAGCACAAATTCGTCTGACAAAAAACAACTTAATGGTGAAGATGGAACAATATCAAAGGAACACAAGAACAAAGGGATGGATGCCAAGCCTCCATCAAGAGCCCCCCTAGAACCTGAATACGCTGAGCTTATAAAGGCCTGCCGAGAGGCAGATCGTTCAGATGACATGGAAAAACTCATAAAAACGAAACTCATCAAGTACTACTATGAAGTTCATGAAGATTTTGTTAAGTCCAAAAGTTTTCGAAAGAACATACGAAAGGTTGTGGAGACGATACGAGCTGAACCAGATTTAGTTTACTATAATTTAAAGACTATTGTTGAAGAACTTAAGGCGAGACGAAAGGCTAAAATAGTAGAGTCACCCGCGCATGAAAAAACAGAAGAGAAACCGCCTGCTGCAGAGGACACAACATCATCTCCTTTGCCATCTACATCGTCTGCTAGCAATACCCAAGTAGCAACACCATCAAATGTCTCAACGGGGAATAAAAAATTAGATGAACAAATCAAAAAGTTAAACAAGGCGTTATACGTTTTAACCAAGCGAATCGAAGTACTCGAAGAAACCGCCGTGGATTGGGACGATGACGACTCAAGCTTTTTACAAGTCGAACGTTTCAAAAAGAGAGCTTGTCAGGTAAGGCGCTTGCTTTGCAAATAAAAATGACATTTAATATCATTATTTCATTTCAGATTTATGAGAAAATTTGCGATCTCACTGGTGAGAGCAAAAATGCTCGCAGATTAGTAAAGAAACCCATTAAATTCAATGAAACTCGCATACCACAGTTCAACAAAACACTGCAAGCTTTTATAAATCGCACAAAGGAGTTTCCTGATTATTTCGATGTACTAAGAATGTTAGAGCACTGCAATAAAACATACAATCTGGGATTAGTAAACTTTGAGATGAAAAATATTGGTAAGAGAATTGTTATTAAATTCCTAATTGATATTGTGCTCATGTAGATTCATTTTTTACTTCTAGCGGAAGACGCATTCATTAAGGTGGGTAAACTTCTACAATCACGACGCAAAGCTGAGTTATATGAAACGGTCACACATTATGGCGGAAATTCTAAAGATCCGGCACTAGTCGATCCAGCGCTAGCAGCAAAATTGAGTGAAAATCAGAAAAACCATAAGAAAATAAGTGAAATATTGGAGAAGTATGCACGCAAACAAGACATGCCCGACGAGGACGAAGAAGAGAATAAGGCTGATAATAAAGAAAAAAGCGGGGAAAGGGAGGAGTCTTTGACAAATGATTCAAATGAACAAGATTCCGAAGATGTGTCACAAACAACGGGAAAAGATGCCCTTAATGATCCTAAACCAAAAATCGATGAAATTAGAGAGGAGGGAGATGGTTGTAAAACAGAAGAGACTACAGTAGTAGAAAGTGAATACGATGATGAAGATGAAGACGAAGACGATGAGGAAGAAGTCAATCTTGAAGACCAAGTAGAAACTTTAGCGAATGGTGAAATATCTGAAAACGAATCAGACAATGAAAATAATGACAGCATAATAAATAAAGATTCCCCTGTTGTTCGCTCAATACTAAACGAAAAGAACGATTCGGTGAAGTCTTCAGAAGGCCCAGCGGATAAAGACAGTTTGACTTTTCAGCAAGACATTACGATAAGCGTTAATACAAATTTATTTCAAAGTGTGAAAGTAAACAATAACAATTTAGAGAATACAGAACTGAAGACTGCCACGAATTCAAACGCGATAACGTGTGTAACTCCGCCCAACGGTAAGCTCAAGGAATTGGATAAACATGTAATTTGTGCTAGCACCAGCCCATCAACCACCACTGCTACTGCTGACTTTAAGATCGTATCTGTTTCTAGTCTAGATGAAGAAATTTTGTCATTTAAAAACAGTGAGTGTACTAGCAAAGTGTCTACAGACGGAGCTGCTCCAAAGGCTTTGGATGAGATTGTAATATCCGATGAGGAATCATAGTGTTTACTGGATTTAAGTTTACCAAAATTATTATAATCACTTATTTACAAATTATATTTTCTATATCGTTTTTGCAACTTAAAATTGATAACTGTATATACATACTTGTTTAAATTAAATATTGTGTTCTTACATATTAATATCTTTTCTGTTGTTCTGTACATATTCCTATTGTTTTATTTCAGTAATCTATATATAAGAGTGCTTAATTTAAGAGGTATATACATGTATTTTATCAAGAACTGTAAATAGTATTAGCATATGTTATAACCAATGAAGTCTTACACATTAAGAGCCATTCAAAGCAGATATTTTGTATTGTTTTGTGCATAAGCAACAAAAGAAATTCTTAGTTTAAACTGACAATTATGTCAGCTAATGGATATAAATAAAATTTATATTTTCTAAACATTTCATCATCGTCAAAAAGGTGTTGTTTATAGCTTTTATATGACTAATGGGGATTTGAAAAAAACTTGCTTATTGATGACTCGGTGTTATTGCGCTAAAAATGTTTTAGCAAAAATTATTATCAATTTTAAATAGATCACATTATGTGCCTTAAAGGGGTCACAGAACACTGATGGTGTAAAACTTAGCAAACATAACCACTACATACGTTACTAAAGGGGTAACAAGGCATGTACAATTTTCTGAGAAGCACTAAATCGAGCTCCTTCCTTTGTGGTTGTAATCGCCTATTGATTTTTACGATACTGTGACAGAGATTATGCTCCTGACAATATTAGACCTGGAGTGTATAATTTTTTTCGACTCCTACTTAAAATGGCGTGAACATAAAAATTTTAATACATGTAATTGAATTGGAAACCTGTAGTACAATTCTGTAATTACTGAAGACAGAATTAACCACGTAATAGAAATTTTTAAATTTCTTATATTGCAGAAAATAATGAAATTCGTTGGTATTTTAGCGACGAATATAAAGTAGTCGCTAAGACCTATTGACCTACCTTTTGTATTAAAATTTTGATTTTGAAAGTTACCGATTTGTTCTATATCGAAAGTGAGGGTCTGGCCCCAGTGTGAAAAGGACGATTGTAGTATGCGGTAAATTATACAAACTATGATCACTATTGAATGCGTATTACGACTTTAGAAAGGGTGAAATTTGATGGAATCGTGGTACAATGAGAGCAGAGAAGCACATAATCAATTTCAATTTTTTTCTTTTTGGCTTAACATGCAGTAGGCACTTTTTCTTACAATGGGAGTAATATCCAAAGCTAAAGCGAATATAAAAAGGATTCGTCCTTGTGCAAAAAAAAAAACATTTTTTAAAGATTTGTATAAATTGGATAATAAATGTGTCCCGAGCTTTAATTACAAAAATACATGGACGGACATGACATGGGGTATAAAATTGTATTCAAATTTGTTTGCAAACAAAAATTACTGCAGCCAATGTTTATGTTAAAATTTGTTTTCTTTGGAGAAATTTAAATTTAATAACCAAACAACAAAATATTATGACCAAAAATCTTTAACTATTATCGGCAAAGGTTCTACCTAATGTTAATCATATCAAATTTGACACTGGTATTCCAGTAAAGTCAAAACAGTTTTGGGTTGATACCAACTTCTAGTAATTTTACCATATTAAAGTAAAAACAATATCCGTATAACCAAGTTTTGGTCACGTCGTATCAATCCGAGTTTTACTCGACCTAGCACTGTCACTTTGCTCCTAAGAGGTGGAAAAATAACGATCAGGATTTTTTTATTTTTGTTTATTCAACCAAGTGTATAACCAGTTAGTAAATAACCACTATTGGCATTCATATTAACTTCAGGATGCGTGCGATTTGGTAAAATTTGGTACATACGCAACCAATTGGATGTTAAGTGCAAATTGGTCACTTTTGAGGACGTCTTTAATTCAACATACAATTCCATTAATACTTCCTTGCATAAACTGAAAATCACAACTGGCCGCGACGGCTTTACAAAGGGCAATAGTTCCTTCACCAAATTGGCAGGGTGTTCCTTGGATGCAATAACTAGGGAGTCGAATTTGTTGTGCATTAAATTAACTGCCCTACGATTTTCTATTTGCCATTTTTGAAGTGTCGTCTTAGTAGCGGGTTCTGATTGTCTCTCTTCTTTAGTCGTTTCGCTACCTATAACGTCTGATATTAAATAAATGTATGCAAATAGGTGTAATCCACACAAATCTCACTTACCATTGTCTTCAACTTCGTTCAATTTTTGTTTTTTAGTGCTTGGTTCTGCAACAACTATTTCAGAGTTGGTTTCTTCTGTTCCTTGATAAAATTCTCTCAAGACGGAGTAAATGTTAACAGATATACATCTATTTGTTTGCTCGTCTGGTAAGTTAAGCGCTAACAAGGCCTGCTTTTGTGGGATATTTCCCGGGTGCATATGTACCATTGTTGCCTCAGTATCAGCTCCAATGGAGTTAAGAAAAGCAGCTGGCAACAATCCATTAGATCCACTGTCGTACAGCAAATAATTTCCGAACGCTGAAACTCCAGAGTAGGATATCATTTGTGACAGAGTATCGACCCGTATGCCCATAACTTTTTCAGCATCTTGTCTGTAATACATTTCAGTGATTAAACGTATTGTGGGTTGTCTGATCTGGACAAATTCGAAATATTTCTTTTCTTTCTTTTTCAAGTATTTTTCTTGGGAATATTCCGTTTTCGAGTGGAATGTCTTGGAATTTTCCACAATTTTTTCTATTATCTTCGTACTCTCCTTACATTCGTCTCGTAGTTGTTCTATATCTTCAGATTTGAGAGCTTGGGAGTCACCGTCATCCTTTATGTTTCGGTTATCGTCACCGCTTTGAGATATGCCCAATACTTCACGAATATTTCTCATTTCTAGTTCATTGCACAGCTCCAAAGCATGCAGCCTTTGGCGTCCTCGGTGACTTTTACCCAATTCCTCCTTAGGGCACATTCTAAATGTGGCTCCATATGGTTGATCCAGTAGGCCCTTTAGCTCAAGCAGCTCTTTTCCCAAAGTTGCTGTTGCATCCAGATTACCAAATTTTTGTAATTTTGTATATTTCTGTCGTTGTATTACAATATAGTCTCCAAGTTTAATTTTTGGTTGCTCCTCTATGCTCGTCATTTTCAGTATATTCAGTTAAAACGAATGGAAATGTTGCCCGCAATTAATTAACAATTTACCAACCGACCCACGCTTTGCATTAAACGCACAAAGAATCGATAGCAAATTGTTTGCTAATCATCGTAAAATGATAACCCATATCTTAAACATCTGTTGCTGTGTTGTCGGCCGTTTTGTTTTGATTCCTTTTGTGTTGTCCGCCTTTCCCTTTTGATTCCATCTTTATTTCGATTTTCTCTCTGTGCTGTCTTTCTTTTCAGTGTTGCCATATTGTAGTGTCCTTTGTTCGTTACTTCTTTTTCTTTTCTCGGTGGCGTCGGTTGGTAATTCATTCAATTGATTTTAATTTATTAATTTATTAATTAATTATTTAATTTCGTATAAAAATTTATATATAAATAATTTAGAAACAAATAGAACAAATGTGTATATGTGTGATTTGAGATTGTGCGTGATTTAAAAGACTAAAAAAACAATAAACAAAACCCGACCGCCAACATAACCTCCAATTAATGGTCCATGGATAGAAAAGCCATATATGTGTCTCCAGCAACTCGAGAATATTTTTCCAGCTGTATTTATTTGTACCCTGATTCCAGGAAAGTATTTTTTCTTGGAGGACGGATTCCCTGGCACGGATATTGACTCCAAACGCCCCAAAGGACGGGAGTTTTCCAGAGCAATACATTGGATACATGAATACGCAATACCATCAGCACGGCACGCACATTTGAATTCAAATATAGGAAATTGGAAATTTGTGAAGGAGAAGGGTAACTGGCAAAAGGAACAAACGAGAAGACCCATAATTCACAGAATCACACACATTCTGAGTCGATGTAAGTTGACTTAGAACTGCGAATGGAGATGTGGAATCAAAACAGAAAGACAAACAACATGTGTTCCATGGGGTTAGTGTTGCCACTGCGCTACTTTAAGAAAGCATTATTGTAGTGGCGTAACACGTGGACTTCGTCGTATACATGGTAGAAGAATATTCTTCTGACATGGTCGTATACAAGAAAGCAACTATTAAACAACGTATGAAAGTGTGTACTTTCTATCATGGTAGAAGAATATAGGTAGATGCATCAAAGCTTGGGAACATTGATATGTCAAAAATTTTAAATTTTTTTATGAAAAAATAAGTGGATTTTTAAATGTTTTTTATACGACGAAAATCAGACGTAATTATATAATGCATTTTTCAACAATCTTTACAAATTTTAATAATTTTTCATTCAACATATTCAATTCCAAAATCGGTTTGACAGTTCATTGTCCCAGCAGCTGTGTCGATGCGACTACCTGTATTCTTCTACCAAGCTTTCTATACAATAATAACGCCAAACCATGGCAGAAGAATATAGGTAGATGCATCAACGCTTGGGAGCATTGATAAGTCAAAAATTTTTGAATGTTTTTTCAAACACAAGTAGATTCTTATATGCTTTCTTATACTACGTCATTCGGAGGCTATTATAGTACGCGTTTTTCAACAATTTTTACAAATTTAAATAATTTTTCATTCAACATTTTCAATTTCAAAATTGGTTTGACAGTTCATTGTCCAAGCAGCTGTGTCGACGCGTCTACCTATATTCTTCTACCATGCGCCAAACGTAAGAAATTTGAAAGAAGTTGTCTAATGAGCGAGCAGCGTAGGAGATCACCGATTTTTTAACAAATAAATCTTACTTTTTTATATGCTCAAGATTTCCGAGTTTTTGTTTTTAATTTTAAAAATGTAATAGTTAATGAGTATTTCTTAGACTCCTCTCCCTTTTTTCGAAAACATATTATTTTAAAAAATAAGTTACAAAAAATATATGGGTTTTAAGCGAATGGAAACAAATTGTTCCAGATATCAGTTCTAGTGATTTACTAATTTTGACCAGTGATATTTACAATAACATTTAACTGCAATTTGTTTATTCATAAAAGAGATATATCAACAAAATTAGATGATGTGACACAATTCAATGAGTTTGTGAAAAAGCAGGGACATTATTTAATTTAAACCAATGGCCACATTCACAGCGTTTCGGGCAATCTTTTTCAAGCCACATATAATTTACAAAGCGATTTTCATTACCTTTAAGTGTCAAACATTTTAAATACCATTATCAATTTTCGACATTATCTAAACTTACATATACAACCAATTATGCGACCATTAAAAGCGGATGGTATAAGGGTTGGATTTTCTTTGGTACCACTGCCCCGTTTTATAACATCCATGTGGTATGGATCACATTTACCTTCCATAAAAGCGAGAATTTCTTTTTTCTGGAGACCGGTACAAAGGTCTAGCGGATCAGGCATTTCTATTATTAAAAGAAAATTGTATAGCAATGGTCTTCTTTTAATTTCGTTTCATAGCGTGGTCTTACTCTCACAATTGTTACGTGTCATATAAATCCATCTCCTGGTTAGCGAAATTGTTTTAAGATAATTCCGATATTGCGAATACATTTCCTAAAATTGTGTTGAAATATCTATGTTTGAAACGAATTGTCTATGACAAATTTGTCATCGATTTTAAAAAAGAAACATTAGCTTTCAGTTCACACTGACTAGATTTTGTAATGCTACTTTATTTATTTATGTTCAAGTTGTTATTGAATGTTTAATTTGATGGTTCATTGAATTATTGACTTTATTTAGATTTAAACATGAACAGGTGTACTATGGCGGTGTGCAACACATCTGTGTATAGTTTCTTCCCAAAGCTCCACAAGAAAAAAGTAACCTCTTGTATTATGTTATATACAAAATATGTACCTTGTTTAGGAGAACGCTCAGAACAATAACAAAATTATGAAATAATTCACATAGAGATTTTTTTGTTAAGGTTACTTTTTACTTAAATTTCTTGGTAAACAGAACGATACTTTAGTTTTAATTAATGTTACATTTTGCCTCCTTTAGACTGCAGCCTTTTCAATCAGTTTGAACCAGTGACCGCATTCACAGCGTTTGGGAGTACCCTTTTGAAGCCACATCCATTGGACGTAAGTTTGGTCTTCTTCGCCTGTTAAGTATGTTAATAATTTTGTGGTTTAATATTTCTTTCAATTACTTATTTTCGACTTACAAATGCAACCGACAATACGGGCATCAAAAGCGGAAGGTATCAGATTGGGATTTTCCTTTGTGCCAGCACCACGCTTGAACACTTTCATATCGAAGGGGTTGTCATTGCCGGCAGCCTTGGCCAACAATTCACGCTTTTCGATACCAGTGGCATGTTCCATGGGATCGTTCATCACTAAAATCCACATAAAAATTTAACATATAATTATTATTGAAATAAGCGATCGCCAGGCCAAAGAAAACTGAGGCTCTTTTTTGACGCGGTTAATAAGCAATTTAAGAAAATGCAATTTCAGTAGAGAAATCTTAACTGCATTGTTTGTTAATTGTATACTTTCTATCGCTATCCCAATAATAAAAAGTTTTTTTTTTTTAAACAAAGGTAGTGAAAAATGATAGCCATCCTCGAAAGGAAATGTTGTTACCAACAATTGATGTCATTGTAGTTGGCAAAACAGAAAAAACAGAAATACATTTCAGATATCAGCAGTGACGCTATTCTGTAGCGATGAACATGTTACATAAACTTGGGAAAATGCATCAAGAACTACGTGACGTATTCTTGTCTATAAAACCATTACAATTTTAGCACTTTTCAAATCATTTTCACTTTATAATTTTTACTAATGCAAATCTTGCATCCCAATATGATTTAATGTGCTTTCTTTGTATGAATGTGTGTATCGGTTCTGCTGAAAGTGTTACATAAAGCCAATCAGATTTGGCAGTAGTTATACCAGAATTTTCTTCATTTCATTTATGCTACTGCCTTTTTTGCGATTACGGATATTTTACAAGGAATTTTAACTGATGTTACGTAATTAAGGTTGGCTGTCATGCCCCCTAATTCGTGCAGCATATTCCAATTCCAGTCTAAAAGAACTGTCAAAAATGGGAGCCTCGTTTTTTCTTGCTGGGAAATTAACCTTTTTTTGGAAAAGGAAAAACTTACTCTTGCAGAAGCGAACTGGAGTGTATGTGACATTTTGACGTGCAGCGGCACGCAGAGCCATGCGTCCACAGACAGAAGCCATATTTTATGTTTATTTGCGGATTTTTTTTAAACTTTTAATAAAACTAAAATTTCGTAATTTCCACACACACGGGACTGCGGCGATGAAAAAATCGTTCGTTTGACGGGCAGCGCAGCGAAGTAACGAGTCACAGTTGATTCAAACCGTACGCCTTGGAGACCAACAATAACAGTGTTGCTCAAATGTTGTATATTTTGATGCAACTCTGTTTAACTGTCATCGAGAGATGTTACGCCAAACATAATATTTTAAATGACAATGCGTATCGTAAAGCGTTCAGCGTACAAATTCTACAATAAATGTTTGCTAAATAAAAAACCTCTTTAAAATAAATTTTTTCTTGTCATTAGTTTCTTTTCTTTTCATTAATATATCAAAGTAGTTATGGTAGTAAAATAGTTGACAGTATAAACAACATGGTTCGGGTACGGGTATACGATTTTTTAAGGTTAAAAAAACAATGCGATGTGGTAAGTTTTAAGGAAATCGTGCTCCAATTTCACTTGTTTGTAATCGGAGGGAAAATTAAAAATCCTTTTATATAAAATTAAGGGGAGATATCAAAGGTGGTGGAAAGTTATTTTCTATCTTCCAACTTGATCTAAGTATGAGAAAAATATTGCGATGTGCAAAGTTTTGAACCCACCAGACACTCCGTCCAAGAGTCACATGAATACTTTAAACATTTCCTTTTCAAATCCAAGTAGATTTCACAGTACCTGTATTTAATCTCGTGATTTACAAAATGTCCAACACGTGCGGATTTATTTAACGGTTTGACAGCTATTTATTTTCATTTAAATTAAATAGCAAAAATATGATGAAAATAATGTCTTTCAATATCAAATATTACATTGATTTTGACTCTTCTTCGAATATGATACTATATAGGTACAGCATATCAATTTTTTATGCATTTTTATCTGCATTATATATTGTCCAAGTGAAACTTTTAATACTTCGACATATTTGCTTTGGTTGGCGCATTCTTTGTTGCCGTCTGCTCGTTGCGAATGCCGTTTTGGCAACAAACGTGTTGATTTTATTTTTTTTCATACCGAAACCGAATCAGAATCGATTCGATGACATTTTGATGGAATTACAAATTTATTGTGTCCCATTTTTTGTGAAGTAAACTAATCGGGTTTTGTATTAACATGTTATGGATTCAAATTAATGGATCAAAATGCTAACTCGATTTTGCAATATATTAATAAATGTTGCTCTTTGAAATATGATAAATTCATATGAATTTTATTTGAGAATGTCATGTAGCCATGGGAACTTGGCATTATCTAAAAATCGTACTTTTTAACTGATTTTTTTCGAATTTTATAATGGTCGTGTACATGTTCGGTAAAATATAAACCAATGAAGAGAGAATTCTAACATCAACGGGGACAAAAGCGATAACAAGGATAAGTCTATGACATAATCGCGAGATTTAATCTCATACAAATATAAATACCATGAGCTCTTTTGGTAAATTTATTTTTGGCAACATCTGATTTTCAAAATTAGGGTTCTGTTGAAAAGTTTGCTAAACTGTTAAAATTTAATTATGCTCCTGGGTGCAACTGAAACAGGGTGAGATGAAAAAACTGCAACCAACTTCAGACTGCTGTCATTTCTGCTGTACCGGTACCCTACCGCTGATTTTTTTTAGTGATACTTTACCGGTACAGTACACTATGTTTGTGTACTGTTTGTTTTCGAACGCTGCTCCGATGAGAAAACATTCGTCGTTCATCAGTTTGTAAACGAACAAAATGATCGTCTTTACTTGCCAAAGAGGTCAGCTGAAAATGTGAAACTTCGGTTGGCCACCAGAACTCAAGCGTCGGCCATGGTGATGGTGTGGGCCGCCATAGTAGCCGATGATCGCTCTCAGCTCGTATTTATCGACCGTGGCATCAGATGAAATGCCGAATGTTAACGCGAAAATATTCTGGAGGGTGTATTAAAGCCTTGTGCATACAAACATTTTGGGCCCAGACCTGTGACATTCCAACAGGAATCAGCATCATCGCACCATCTTCGATGAGAAAACATTAGTCGTCCGGCACGCAAATATTTTGGCCGCAGACCTTGAACATTCCAACAGGACTTAGAATTCAGCACCATCGCACTCAGCACGCGCCACCCAAAAATGGTTAAAAAATAAGGTTCCTCGCTTCATTTCCAGCGCATAATGGCCATCAAAATCTCCGTATACCAATTCGTTGGACTATTGTGTCTGGAGTATTTTGGAAAGCAAGGCTGGCACTAAATAATACGAAAGTGTCAATTACCTCAAGCAAGTTCTTCGCCGGGAATGGGCCAAAATACCGCAGAGCAACATTGGGCAGCGTGTGACGTTTTCATTGACTGTTTGAAAGCCATAATTCGTGCCAAAGGTGACCAATTCGAACAAATCTAAACTTATTCTAAAATGTGATGCTATTTCCGAAATGTTTTGCTTTCATTCAATAAAAATTAAAACAAAAATGTAGAAATCATGCCGTTTGACTTTGTTGCAATTTTTTTATCTCACCCTGTAATCGCGAGACTTAATCTCTAATGAACATAAATAGCATCAGCTGTCTTGATATATTTAGCTTTGGCAATATCTGATTTTCAAAATCAGGGTTCTGTTGAAAAGTTTGCGAAACTGTTTACATTTAATTATCATCTTGGGTTCAAGTGAACAGACTAAAATAAAGGCATATGTGAACACATGAACCTATATAAGATAAAACTATGCGGAATCTATCAATCTTGCATAACTACTCTAAAAATTTATTTGTGAACGATTTTCCAATAAGATAACCGTTAAAGATAACTCCATAACCTAGACTCTGTTGGTCTAAATCGAAACCAAATAAGTTTTTGTGTGTCGACCGCCTTGAATTTCGTCGCTAAATTATAAATTTATACGAACTGCCACCCTTTTGAATATTTTTAAAAAATATTTATAAAAATATATTATCCAAATAGGCTTTAATATTGTAAAACAACACTACGAAATTCAAAACCTGTGGGAATGAATCTATGGTGGCCAATACTAAATTTATTGTTCAGAAACTAATTTCAAACATTTCACAACAAAGTCTCCCAAGGAAGAACTTTCACATAATTTATCAATATTCGGAAATGTTACTTTAAGAAATTCGAGATGATTTTACATTGAACACACCAGAGGAAAGCTATAAATTAGATTTTTTACAAAACACATGAGTCGAACATGAATAGGAATTTTGGAACGGACGGAGGAATACTTCCGAAATGTTTAAATAACACAAAACAATTAACAATTCACTTGATACCTTTCGAAAAATCTTCACTCGCCGGAGTTGTGAAGAATTTTAAGCGCCTATTTTACTTTAACCATTAGGGGATGTAGGGAGAATTCTCACGCAAATGAGGGTATTTATTTTAAGTGGCTCCCTTGGAGCACCAACCACCCAGAGGAAATGTTTCCTCGGCACACAGCTAATAATGTGTTGACAAATCGTACCACATAAATAACACAAATTGTTTCCATTACCGAGGATGATCTAAGTAATTGAAAGGACTGCATGAATGAATTGGATCGTCAGTGATAATGTCACAACAAATTGTGTGTAGTGTTTGATGAGTAAAATTAAAAAAAAATGAAATAACATAAAAAGACACATTGTAAACCATGATCGGTCCGTCCCATGAGAGCGTTAGTAAGGATGTGGGGAGAAGATTTTAAATGAAATTTTTATTGAAAAAATGTAAAGGTAGGAAATATGAATACCAATAAAATACAGTTGCACTTCAACTCCCTGTTTATTCTTCTATTCGGCTTACAATTGTTACTTGTACACAAAAAAATATGGAGTTGCTTAAAAAATCTCCCAACAATAAAAACAAAGCGAAGTGGTTTTCTTGCCCCATACTAAAAGGTCATTATTCCTCTAACAAATAAACGATGTTTTATAATAATAAAACAACAACGTTGAAGTTATTTGTTACTTTATAAATAACTTCTCAATTCATATTTTTTTCTATTAAAATTTAGAATTTTATTCAACTATATCAATGAGAAGATAACACAGCTACTAGTTTTAACACTAATATCTATGATGCCGAGGCATTTCTTAGCAGGTGTTTTATGATGCAAACCTTGCCATCCCTTTCTTTTAAATGGTTCTTTGTTTTAGAGATTTTTGGCTTCTGCGACCACCTATTCAAAACTAGCAGATATTCGTATTTTCGTTTCTTTGTGAACTTGTCATAGTCTACTGAACTCTTGTCATATCACACTGAAATTCACTTTCTTCAGTTGACAATCTAGGATCTTATATCTATGTGAATTGAAAATACTAATTCAAAAATGTTGCAGGAGCCAAAGATCTGCATGGTATCTTAAATCTTTTGGATTTCTTAAATATTGCACATCAAGGCGCCTTTCTACGGCATAGTTTTCTATGAATCGGCAACAATGAAAAGACGACTGATATGAAAATTATTTGCCAAAGTGAAAGATAGTGTAACCGGATACCTAAAGGAAGTTACCTTGAATGCATTCCAAACACACATACACACACACCGAATACCTACTACCACTGCATTTCCCATTTATGGGCAAATAAAGAAATGCACCAGCAGCTAGTGTCGGTGTGAGCGTGCAAAAAATGTAGCCCCTGACTGGCTGAATGTTTATTTGCTTTGACATTTGTTAGGTTTCCTTTGTACTCCATTCATAAAGTGACTGCATTTGGCCATTAATGAAAAGGAATTGTGCACACATTCAACGACGGTGGCTTTGTAGATATCTATTGACATTTCAAGTATCTCACTTTGAAGATTCGGACCATTCACATTTGGAACAACATTCATTTTAACAGCAGCTGGCCCTCCAGACGAGTTGGTAAATACATTTGCGGGCGTATTTAAACAGAGCTAGGCAAATATGTGACAAGTAGTTATGGAGCGGTGTTGTGACTTTGAGGAAAAAAGTAAATTGTTCTTCAACATTGATTTGATTTTACTGACACTCTTTTATTGTTCTACCATTTTTTGATTTTATATAAATATTTTTTTTGATAAATTCGGATATCAGATTTTTATAAGATATAGATTATAGCAGAAAATTGACAGAATCATTTCCATTTTTAATACAC